AATTGCGAAAGTCCCGAATTTCGGAATGCCAAGCCGAACCGAAAATTTTCCCCATGCACATGCCTTTTAAAGACCCGCCCCATCGGCATGATTCTACAGGTTAAATTCAGCTTGCCCAGCAGTGACTGCAGGCTCTGCAGCTGAATCTTATGCAGCCCTAGGGATATAGACACTTCCCGCCGCAAACCTAGAATCTTATGCAATGGCAAACGGCATTCCCGCGCCGCAGAATCAATATCAATGCCCAAGAAGCTGAAACACATGATGGGACCCACCATTTTGTTGTGGGCCAATGGGACGCCAGAGCATCGAAAAACATCCCCCAAAACCTGCAGCAGCGCACAGGGTGGCAAATCGTCAGGACCCACACAAAGAAAGTCATTGAGGTAATGCAGCAGGGAGCCGATCCCGGCCTCCCTCCTAACCACCCACTCCAAGAATGTGCTGAAGCACTCAAAGGAGAAACAGGATATGGAACAACCTATCGGCAGGCACATATCCACATAGTACATGTCTTCAAAAACACAACCCAGAAGATGATGACATTCTGGATGCACTGGCAGCAAATGGAAAGCCGACTCCACGTCAGCCTTGGCTTCCACGTCAAAGGACACATAGGACACCCGGCAGAGTTCCGAAGAGATGTCATCATTCACCGAACCCCGGCAAGGATACCACAAATGATGAATCAAACAGTACTTCCCCTGCTCCTTTTTGGACACCAAGCCCAATGGGGAGACACGCAAGTCCGGTAAAGGGGGGTCGCTAAAGGGATCCGCCATGCGACCCAGAGACACTTCCTTGCTAATCTTTTCCCAAACCACATGCAGGAAATCCCGAACCAACCGAAGGTTGCGAACCAGCAGCGAAGGGGGGCGACAAGTGAAAGGAATCCAGAAACCGCGCTCAAAGCCGTCCAACAGGACTTCGGCAGACCAACGATTCCTATAACTGGCGCGCCACGGTCGCATCACGCTTATGACCACTGGCTGCGTCGCCTTTAGACCCCAGACCCCATTCATGCTTGAAATGGCACGATGCTCCCATTTGCAATGAATGTCATCAAATTTCCAACAACAGCCTGTTGCACAACCGGTGAGGTGCATGATCCACCCATACCGGCACCCCCAAGAAAGGACGAGAAACCACCCTGCTGTGGCGCCAGGCAGGTCCTAATGGAGAGCCAAGGTCCAATGTCCATCTGGTCCCAGCTTATTGAGGGGCGCACCACCAACCATTGATGGAATTGCTTGTCATACTTCCAAAACTCCAGCCTGTCATAGGTATGACAAGCGTCCCAAATGGTGTCTTGGTAGCAGAACAATGCAGAGCACTTCTGCGGAACCTTTTCCCCAATGACACTAGCCAGTATGTAAAAAGCGCAAATCCAATTTCCAGTGTCTTGGGGATCTTTTGGTAATGGTATTTTTCTTTGTCTTTTTCAAATTCCTTGCTGTCCTTCTCCACCAGCGGAGGAGCCTCCTCAATTGGCAGGAGGGAGAAAATCTCTACAAATTCTCCCCTCTAAATTTTTCCCTAACTTCCTGCTTCAGGTGCAAACCCAGACCAACACATATAAGCGGTCCCCCGCTCTAGGTTGGAGACACCCGGAGATTCACCTGTTGCCGGGGAAACCTCCACGACAGCAGATGCGGTGATACCCAACACCGGAGGAGGAACGCCAGCAGGGACACTGAGAACGGGTGAGCGGAACCCTACGATACCCTGAACCTCCTGTACCCCTTGTGGCTGCTGAACAGGGGACCAAACCGACCGAAGCCAGCTATCCAAAAGGGAATCCCTGCATGCTTGCGCACCCTGTTCCCACTGATCAAAAACCCCTAAGACCAGTCAGGAACCCCCCCAGCGAAGGATCCCCTGACTGCAATGAAAAAACAGTACCGTTCTCACCAACAGATGCCCAAAGCTCACACCCCTCAGAGGAAGGCAGCCGAGGTAAGTAACCAGGGGAGAAAGGGTGACCAGCAGGGGACACAGAGGGATACAGGAGGAAGGGGGAGGAGGAAGGGGGAGAGAGGACTAGAAAGGGGGACAGAGGTAAGGGGAGAACCCAGAACTGGAGGAGAAGGAACCAAAAAGGCAGGAGGGCCACAGAGAAATGGGGGCCCACAAGCAGGGGGAGGAGAGGGGGGACCACCACGGCTGACCCTCATCCCCAGGGGACATACTAGAACCCAGGGAGGACCCACCTCCACCCTCCAACGGTGGCACAGCCATGCCCCGCGTGGCCCCATGAAGGCCACTCACCACCGCGGACACCATTACTGGTCCGCTGTCGTGCCGACCGCATAGCGCCCGGGAAGGCCTCCCAGACGCCCCACCCCTTCTGGGCTGGGCAGGCCATCTTCTTGCGCCCCCGGCTTGCTGTCCATCACTGGGAGGGGGCGTGGGAAACCATGGGTGGAGCAGGCCGCATGTCAGATGGGGCAGACACACAGGCCTGGCAGCACCTCGGTTTGGGCTCTGGCTCCGATAATGGGCCAGAGACGCCACATCCGGACTCAAGCTTGTGCGGCCTAAATTTGCTAATGCCATGTGGGAGGCCCCAGCCGAGGCCTGGTTGGGGGGGGGGGGTGACCGGCACTGGTGCCAAACCAGGCTGGAGGTGAGCAAATTGCTCATTGAGGCACCTACCACCATCCAAGGCAACTGAAGCTCTGAGGGCAGACAGGATTGCTTCCACAGGACAAGGCCCAGGACAAACAGGATCAACAGATTCTGGGTAAGTTGTTTGCTGGCCCATCTACCAAGAGGCACTGAGGTTAGATGATACCTACACCACTCCCAAACACTTAACCACTCCCAAATACCCATACAGTCAATCACAAGCATCTAACCCCACCCTCATACATGTGCCCTTGTATGCTTAGCTGCGCTATCTCCCCAGGGCCTGTGCCTGCACACTTGCACAGGACACACTGGACTAAACGCACACAGAAAAAATAAAAAACAAGGAATTTCTTTCAAAAGGCCAGCGACGCACAGTGCAGTGTTCAATTGTGCAGTTGACCGCCACAAACTTTATTGCAACTTACAAAGCACAAGTAGTGGCACTAAAGCACATCAGAAAAGTGGAAATCAAATAATTTGTTTAGGCAAGAGGATCTTTTGATGAAATAATGTGAAATGCTATTTCCTCAGTTCAAAAAAATAATAAGTTAATTAGCCACTGCAGAATTTGATGCACTGGGAATTCCCTACAGGTTTTGCAAGGAACAATAAACTGAATAAAAATACACACACACACATATGTATATATATATATATATATACCCATCAGAGAACACAAACCATCATTACAAAATAAGCATGGACACAATGTACCAATTTTAAATTTTACATAGATAGATAGATTTGAATTTCTTTTTGAGCTCATTTGGAATTTTTGACAATTCAATCAAGAATATCACTGGATATATAAGTATAACACCAGTATTTTCTTTTGTTTGTCCTTTATATTTGTATGTACAAATAGAGGAAAATAAGGCATATCTGCAGAATTCGCAGATAGTTAAAATTCAAAGTATTTATTATCAAAAATAAAAAATAAAAATCCACTGTTTTGACAGACATTGTATCCAAAGATGCAAAGCAGCAAAGCCATAGATGTGTATATGCTTTTTGCATTTCATGACAAATAGTGCAGCCTACTGCTTTCAGAAAAGTATTACATGCAAGATAAATTGGAAGGAAAATGTTTTCTAAAACTGAAAGCTTAAATAGGCTCTGAACATCAGAAAAGCTATTGCTATTTGTGCACAGTATTTAAGCAGCAATACCATCACAAAGAGTGGGCTTCACTGAAGGTAAGGCGTAAAGGAAGTTCTGCATGGAAGAATGAATGAACGAACGAACAAATTATGTGATGAATGAGACCGTTTGAGTATAGCAGTGGTCTAATTCCTCTGCTCCTTTCCTTGCAGATTCTACATTACTACCATATTACAGTGATTATCAGGTTGTATTTTTTCTTGTATCTCTCTGTATAGCACTACCCCCTATTCCCTACTTCCCCTATTGGGGTGTATATTTGTTTGTGCTGGTTCTATACTGAAGTGTTCGTGGGGTACACTTGTGAAGAGTGGTTGTATATCACTTTCTCCGTTTTTATATATAGTAACTACTTTGTTATTTACCGTTTTAGTATACTTTACAAAGAAACTTATTTTCTAATTTATATTTCTAGATTATCGTTACTCTGCTACTTGATGTAAATGATGCATAAGGAAAATCAGACAGTAATATTTCAGTTCTTACTCTGTGGATTTCAGCAACTTAATGGTTTCAGATATGTACTTTTTACTATATTCTTGCTGCTGTATATAGCAACTTTAATAGGAAATTGTATGGTTATTGCAATAGTGTCTACATCATGCCAGCTTCAGTCCCCAATGTACCTCTTTCTTCGTCAGCTGTCCCTATCTGAAATACTATTCACAACGAATATTGTACCAAAATTGTTAAATATCACAATAAAAGGAGGGGATGTCATATCCATCCCAAACTGCATGACTCAATTAATTGTGTATTCAGGCTTAACAAACACAGAATGTTTCCTTCTCACAGGGATGTCGTATGACCGGTTCCTTGCCATTTGTAAACCATTACATTATGCTTTGATTATGGACTGGAAATGTCAACTTCATATTGCACTATGGTCCTGGCTGATATCTTTTTTGTTTACACTAATCGTTGTAATACAAGTAAGTCTCTTGAAGTTTTGCGGCACAGGAGTCATTGACCACTATTACTGTGATTTTGCACCCATAATTGAATATGCTTGCTCTAATACTTCATTTTTGGAAACAGAGGCATTGGTTTTCTCATCTCCTATACTTCTTTTCCCGTTTATATTTATTAGTGTGAGTTATGTATTAATTTTAAACACAATTTTTAATATTCCGTCTACTACTGGAAGACAGAAATCCTTCTCTACTTGCAGTGCACATATATCTATTGTTTGTATTTATTATTGGACACTGGTAACAATTTATGTAACTCCATCTGTAGGAAAGACATGGATCAATAAGAAGTTTTTATCATTATTGTACATTGTAGTAACGCCTTTATTGAATCCTATTATTTATAGTATAAGGAACCAAGAGTTAAGAGCAGCCTTGATGAAACAACTGTTGCATGTGAGAAATGTGTGCTATCATTTAATGAGCTATGATGCAACATAATGTATCATAGTAAAATATAGTAATGTAGTTACACATATTAATCTACATGTTGGTGTAGATGTGGGTATTAGTTACTGTATCACTGATTGAAATTGTGTGTATCTGTATCTGTGCAAATGTATGTGACCATTATTTAAATTTAAATCTGATACAAAATTCAGCAGCTCTCTCCCTCCCATTAGGGCCTTGGATACTAAAAATGATTGTTCTGCCTAAAATGAAATACTTTACTCTTCTGCTTAAAAAATAAAACATATCTGGCTTAATGCCAGTTTTATTAGCCACACCACTAGAAGTTCTTTCTTATTTGTTTCATGATTTTAATAACTCATATATCAGTTATTGGATAAGTAAGCATTAATTAGAAGATTTCAAACTAAATATAATCTAACACAGGAATTCATTTTGTTCTTATTACTCGCTCATTCTCATAATTCTCATAATTCTTGAGAAAAGGTGTTTTGAAAATGTTTTGCACAACACCTAAAAGTTCACAGTTGTAAAGTACTAGCTTTAATTTTTAAAGTGGCACTGTCTTGCAGAACCTTTCTTTAATCGATTCCTCTACTCTCCCTCTCTCAGGATCTGTTCTACATTTCTTCCTGTCTGCTCTAGTTTTCTGAGCCTTTTTTATATTTGTAAAACAGGAGCATTAGGAATTCTTTCATTGTTTTTCCCTTCATTATTTTTTCACCAGATCTAATTTATACTACATATTCACCTAGTTGTAGGTATTTTTATTTTGTACAGTTACTATTTGGATAACTACAATCATCTCCAGATGATACAGTGACTTCTAAACATTCTATGTGCTGGGATTCTATCCATCTATTTGTTTGCTCTTTTTTGTCTATCATTTATATAGCGCCAGCAAATTCCATAGCGCTGTTAAATGGGTGATAGATTATATAAATGGTTAATTGTTTGGGTGTGATAGTACAGTGATACAATATGCAATGTTTATGAGTGTATTATAGAGCTCCTCGGGAAGGTGCAGTACATATGGCTCTAGTATATAACTCTGCAGTGTCAATCTTTGTATCAATGTGTATCTCTGCAGTGTCAATCTTTGTATCAATGTGTATCTCTTGGACTTTATATGTGTTATATGTCTCTGTGTATCAGGGCCATCTTTAATACTGATTGGACCCTGGGTAGGTAATTGATTTGGGCCCCTTCCTAGCATACAATCACGCCATCAAATTCCGCAAAAAAAAAAAAAAACCCACACACTTAGCCCTCTCATTTCTTACTGAGACAAAATACAGATGCAAACACTGACATACATAGATGTGCACACATACACAGGTACAGACATACATGGAGAGATACACAGACACACAAGTGCATACACAGACACACATTCATATACGCAGATACTCACTGATACACCTACATACACTGATGCACAGATACATTCACTGACAAACATGCAGATAAACAGAAACACTAACACACAAACAAACACACTGCCAAACATGCATATACACACAATAACATACAGATACATACACAGACCCACATGCAGATACACAGATACACATAGATACTGACACATATACAGATACACAGACACATGCAGCTACACATACACACATAATAATGCACATTCAAATACACAGAATGACACTCACACAGATACAAACACAGACACACATGCAGATATACAGACACATATACAGATACACACTGACACACATGCAGATACAAAGACATGCAGACACACATACAAACATACACACAGATACACATAAAACATATAAACATATAGACATACACACATACGGACACACAGAAACACATACTGATACAAAGGGTCACATAGAGACACATGCAGATACATAAACACACACACACATACAAACAGATACACACATGCATACATATAGACACATGCATACAAACATACACTTACATACAAACAGGTACATACATGCAAACAGATACACACATACATACAGATACATACATACAAACATACACATACATACAGGCATACACATACATACAGACAGACAGACACATACATACAGACAGACAGACAGACACATACATACATACAGACAGATACATACATACTTACAGAGAGACACATACATACATACAGACAGACAGACAGACACATACATACATACATACAACCAGACACATACATACATGCACATTTTTTATGTGTTTCCTACCTTTGGAGTGCAGGAGGCTGGCTCGGGCTGATGGGAGTCAGTGCTCCCACTCTGACTCCCTCCTTTTCTTCTCCTCCTCCCGCTCGGCACTCGGTGAATGCTAGGAGGAAGTGACCTGCTGTCACTTCCTCCCAGCATCCTGACATCATCACAGGGGGCCCGGTCGCGCTCTCAAAGTGGCTGGGCCCCTGAAAATCCCTCACCACCGGGTGCCCCATAGAGCATTGGCCACCTGATGAGACTCCACATGGCACGGCCTGCGGTGGTAGTTCCACGCGGGCCGCACGAACCATGGAGGCCAGAGGGCTAAAGGGACAGTGGCTTTGGGTCCCCTAAGACTAACTGGGCTTGGGGCAGCTGCCCCTTTTGCCCCGTGTTAAAGACGGCCCTGGTGTGAATCTGTGTGTGGCAATGTAAATCTGTGTTTTTGTGTATGTCAATGTTCTCTGTCAATCTGTATGTTTGTATAGCAAACATAGCACACACAACCCTGCAATTCAACACTAACACTACAAATACACCATGGCATTCAAAGACATATATTACACACACCTGTAGTCTAACAATGAAACTACAGAAAACATACCATTGCCAAAACTGCGTGGAAACACCAACACTACACACAAACACATCCCTGAAATGACATCCTAACACTACAAAAAAAACACACATGTGCATTCAAATGCCAACACAGCATATAAATAAACCTCTGCATTCTAATATCAGCTACATACAAAATTAAAGAAATATTCACACCCACATAGTCCATATAAAATATGCCTACATTCACGCACCTACAATCCTGCAAGGATGGGCAAATGGTAGATATACACCTGACAAAGAATTGTCAGATATGTATGACAGTTACGATCTACCGTTTATCCATGTGTGGTAGAGGATTATTTGCACCAGGGATCTCCCTATATTAGTTCTGCCACTGCATACACATTTATATTCACACAGGGGCGGACTGAGAACCCTCAGGGCCCCCGGGCAAAATAAATCAAGGGCCCCCTTACAGGCCCCACCCATACTCTGCAGCAAGCGCCACCCTTGTCCCGCCTCCATGCACCGCCTCCAGCCACACCCTACACAATCTTTAGACACAAGGAACAAAAGGGCAATAAGCCCTTCGAGGCCCCAGCAGAGACTACAATTGAGGGCTAATGGGCCATGGAGGGGGGGTCTTTCTAGCGGGGGCTATCTCAGTGTCCTTTAGAGAGTGTGTTAGAAAGAATCCCCTCCAGGCCCCATTAGAGACTACAATGGAGTCTAATGGGGCCTGGAGGGTGGTCTCTCCAACACTCTGGTTTCTATTCACAATATAGCAACACAACATAGCTCGCTGATACCTAGGCCAAGTTGGCTCCTCTTACCTTAATTACTGTTGCTGGCTGGCAGTCTGTGGGCTTGCTTGCTGCGGCTGGCAGGCTGTGGGCTTGCTGGCTACTGCCGGCAGGCTGTGGGCTTGCTGACTGCGGCTGGCAGGCTGTGGGCTTGCTGACTGCGGCTGGCAGGCTGTGGCTTGCTGGCTGCGACTGGCAGGCTGTGGGCTTGCTGGCTGTAAGCCTGTGGCTTGCTGTAGGCCTGTGGGCTGGCTACTGGCCTGTGGGCTGGCTAACTGGCTGGCTAACTGGCTGGCTACTGGCCAGCCTGTGGGTTGGCTGGCTGGCTACTGGGGCACTTGTAAATTATTTAAAGAAATAATCTATGCACAATAACCACTACTGCTCCAGAGTAAGTAGTCAAACCATTTAAGAACAGTTTGACAACTTACCTGGGATCTGCTGGGATATGGGGCTGTAGTAGGGAATAGGAGCAGTGGTGCAATGTGTGTGAAAGGTTCAGTGTATGTGTAGGGTGTGTGGGCTGTGTATGTGTGTGGCAATGTTAGTATGGGGGGCTGTGTATGGGGGTCTGTGTGTATATGGGTGGGCAGTGTATGTGTGTGTGTGAGGCAATGTGTGTAAATGTGTATGGTGTGTATGGGGGCAGTGTGTGAATGTGTATGGTGTGTGTTTGGGGGCAGTGTGTTTATGGGGCTAGAGTTCACTCTCACCACTGCGACCACCAGGAATCCCTGGGGGTCACAGTGTTGAGAGTGAACACTAGACCGTAGCTCCAGGACTAGAGCTGACTCTCGCAAGAGCGATAACGTTGCCATGGTAATCGCGGCAACGCTCTGTGCTCGTGCAAGAAGGACCCAGAGGAGCTGCAGGGTGAGCTCCCAGGTCCTCTCTTCCTCCCTCCCCTGCCCGCATGGTGCCTGCGGACAGGGGAGGGGCAATTGCCCTGTTGCCCCCCTGGATCCACCAGTGATATCTACAGCCCTTCTGTGTGCCTTTTTGTCTCCCCCCGTCCCTCTGTATGTTTCTTCCTCCCCCCTCCTTCCCAGTCTCTCTTACCCCTCTGCCTCTTTCTCCCTCTCTTCCACTGTTTTTCTCCCCCCTTTCCCTGTCTCTCTCTCCCCCACATCTCTCTTCCTCTCTGTCTCTTTCTCCCCCTCCCTATCTCTCTATTCCCCCTCTTTCTCCCCGTGTCTCATTCTTCCCTCTCTGTCTCTTTCTCCCCCTCCCCATCTCTATATTCCCCCTCTTTCTCCCCCTGTGTCTCATTCTTCCCCCTCTGTCTCTTTCTCCCCCTCCCCATCTCCCTATTCCCCCTCTTTCTCTTTCACCCCCCACCTATCTATTCCCCCTCTTTCTCCCCGTGTCTCATTCTTCCCTCTCTGTCTCTGTCTCCCCCCTCCCCATCTCTCTATTCCCCCCTCTTTCTCCCCCTCCCCATCTCTCTATTGCCCCCTCTGTCCCCCCCTCTTTCTACCCCCTCCCCAACTCTCTGTTCTCCCTCTTTCTCCCCCCTCCCCATCTCTCTATTGCCCCCTCTTTCTCCCCCTCCCCATCTCTCTATTGCCCCCTCT